ATACTGGTCTCATTTACTCACGCATAATGGGGAGTGACCTTACTAGACAAGGCTGGGAAGGCTGCCCCGAAATCATCTCAAGATAACCTCCCTTTTGAGCTAATTTTTCAATTCCTGTATGTTCTTCAGGTATGCAAAGGCGAGTATATCACTCGTGGCGGGGAAGGCGCAGTAGGGGTGGAAGGGTGCCGAGGGAGGCAGAGAGGGGCATGGGAAAGGGGGAGAGAAGTGCGGAAGGTGACGAGAGGAGGTGCGGAAGGTGGAGGCGGGAAGTAGGGTCGGAGCCGTCACTCTGGTGGTCATCTCACTGTCACCCGACAATTGTTTCTCCCGGTACTTGAGTGCTTCTCCCCCCCCCCTGTCTCTCCTCCCACGGGGCGGCCACCACCCACCCCCTGGTCACCCTCCCTCATCCCTGGCACCCATGGGCACGGCTTGTCCACTAGTGAACCCTGCATGGGTGGGCGACCGCCTCGGCGCTCACTGTGGTCCGGTACACGCCAGGGGTAAGACAACTAACCCCTCACCTACCATATCAACTACGCTAGTCTTCCTCAACACCCTAAGCACACCCAGAAACACACACACAATCATCTTCAACACAACAAATTACCCGACCCTCCCCCTGCCCTCGACATTCATCTAATGACCTAGAGCATCTGATTGATAAAGATTAAGCCACCCAAGAGGTGGCACGGGCATGAATAGCCCGTAAGTGGTGGTGGCCCTTTTGAGCCATTACCAGTATCAAGAGATGATACTGGAGATCTGTGGAGGTGTCCAACCCGTCCTCAGACCAAGTCCATTCCATCCAGTCGTCCCCATCAATGACGCATTCATAAATTTTAACATGCTGTTCATTCAAAATAGGAATTTTCTCAAATATAAATTAATATTATAATATATTAGCATATTGTGCATATTTAGGCATTGGTTAGGTTAGGTGTTTAGGTTCTGTTGGCGATTATTTGTATTTGTAGTACGTGGGTGAAGCATTTACAGCGTTGTGGTTCGAACAAAAGTCGTCAGTGAAGCACTTGTTCCGGAAGTGTTCGAACGTCATCAGTTGTGAGTCGTGTGTAAACCGTTTTTCATTCATAAACAGGGGGTTTGGCGGGTGCATGGAATCACTTTTGGATCTTTGTTTGGAGGACGGGCTGGTTGTGCAGCCCGTCCTCCAAACAAAGATCCAAAAGTGATTCCATGCACCCGCCAAACCCCCTGTTTATGAATGAAAAGCGGTTTACACACGACTCACAACTGCTGACGTTCGAACATATCCGGAACAAGTGCCTCACTGACGACTTTTGTTCGAACCACAACGCTGTAAATGCTTCACCCACGTACTACAAATACAAATAATCGCCAACAGAACCTAAACACCTAACCTATCCTATGCCTATATATACACAATATGCTAATATATTATAATATTAATTTATATTTGAGAAAATTCCCGTTTTGAATGAACAGCATGTAAAAATTTATGAATGCGTCTGTGGGGTCGACCGCTGGATGTAATGGACTTGAGTCGAGGACGGGTTGGTATCAATTTCACTGAATTCGGAACTCTTAGCTTAGATGATACTGGTCTACTGGTCTTCTTTAAGTGTGATTTTGTAAGTTGTAAGTGTATAAGTGTGAGTTGTAAGTGTAATTTTGGTAGAGAAGAACAGACTGGTGAACGGAATAAATGGCATGCAGGCGATGAGTCACAATAACGTGGCTGAAGTATGTTGACCAGACCACACACTAGAAATTGAAGGGACGACGACGTTTCGGTCCGTCCTGGACCATTCTCAAGTCGATTGTGAGAATGGTCACAATCGACTTGAGAATGGTCCAGGACGGACCGAAACGTCGTCGTCCCTTCAATTTCTAGTGTGTGGTCTGGTCAACATAAATGGCATGATAAAATAGATTAGGGAGTGGAGCGGAGATCGTGATGGGTTGAGGGGTGGATTGAAAGCTGTGAGGACGAGTAAGGGAATTTGGGTAGGGTTTAGGGATCAACCCGTGTGCGGATTAGGGTCTAGGGTAGGGATAGAGCCATGTGAGGATTTGGGTGGAGACAAATCTATGGAAGTTCAAGGATGAGGGGAAAAGGGGAAAAAGTGCATGCAGCAGAGGGGTCTGGGAATAAGGTAAGATTTAGAGGTGTAAGAGAAGTAGAGTGTACACTTAGGGGAGTGTAATGACTGACGTTGCTGCTATGTTTGGGTTGAAGGTTGAGGCTCTGTCAGTATCCAGACCCACCACAGCATACTTAGAAACTTCCGTATTCTTGCAGGAAATTTGTTAGCTCTCACTATCAAGAGTGTACCCTATGCCCCTGTTACCTAGCAGTAAAATAGGTACCTGGGTGTTAAGTCAGCTGTCACGGGCTGCTTCCTGGGGGTGGAGGCTTGGTCGAGGACCGGGCCGCGGGAACACTAATAAAAGCCCCGAAAACATCTCAAGATAACCTCAAGAAGATAGATCATGCTCTGGAGAGATTATGAGGCTATTCTCTGGGATAGAGTAATTGTAGAGTTCTAAGAAAAGGGTTCTGGCGGGATGTGGTTGTGTATCAGCCCGTCTTCCTAAGGTTTCCCAACGTCAAGAAACTGTCGTACTATAGTGCCCGTATCCTAACCTACCAGAGGAGACAAAACAAAAAACGGGACAGTATGTGAATTTCGCGAGCCGCTTCCATTTTCTAGTAGACAATTTTTGGTCTTAGGAAGAGAGTACGTGAAAATGCGGCCCTCTGTTAGGAGGACGGTTGTGTAGTAGCGTGTACTCACCTAACTGTGTTTGCGGGGGTTGAGCTCTGGCTCTTTGGTCCCGCCTCTCAACCGTCAATCAACAGGTGTACAGGTTCCTGAGCCTATTGGGCTCTATCATATCTACACTTGAAACTGTGTATGGAGTCAGCCTCCACCACATTGCTTCCTAATGCATTCCATTTGTCAACCACTCTGACACTAAAAAAGTTTTTTCTAATATCTGTGTACAGTGGCGTGTGTTGGCGAGTGATGCAGAGTGATAGTGTGCTACAGACCCGTACGAACAGGTCTCAAGCAGCTCCCTGTGAGAATTAAGACGTTGAAGCGGTACGGGTGAGAGAAATTTGGTAGAAATGAGGATTATAGCGAGAGATTATGACGCGTGAGTGTGTACTTGGGAGCGAGGGCTGGGATGGGTTACCTCTCCCTTCCCCTCCCTCACCCCCCCCCCTCCTGGCCTCTCACTAATCACGTCCCGTCACTCTTCATGACCGGGGAAGGGGGGGGATACTGTAACTCCCCCCCCCCTCTCCTACCATCCCAGCCTCCCTCACGCACGCACGCAAGCAAGCACGAACACACACAAAGGAACCGAAAGAGCAGAATTGAACCCCCGCAAGCACAACTAGGTGAATGTGAACGCACACACAGACCCACGCGGACATACCATCCCTGTCCGCGCTCACGTCAAAGCGCGTTCAATTCCATACACGGACTATACTCTCACCAGTGATGCAATCTGAACTCTTCATGCAGACTTGGCCCGGAAGGAAAAATCGAAGTGGATGATAACTTGGGCCTCCCACGATAAGGGCGACAGAATGGTACCCCCTCACACCCCTCACGCCCACACCCCTCACGCCCACACCCCTCACGCCCACACCCCGCACGCCCACACACTTAAACTGCCCCCAGTAAATAGCCCCCAGGAAAAACGAGACGTTACACAACGATAGACAAGCAAAAACTACAAAAACAAAACAACAAACGGGTGAATAAACAAGTGAGGGGGGCAGTAGAGCGTCTCAAGAAAGCCTACACCGGTTGGGATGTCACGGGGCGCGGGAAGACGCTGGCCCGGTACTTTGGAACCCTTAGTCGGCAACTTTGTTTACATCTGAGGGGAAACTGTTTAAAGTTAAAAAGAAGAAATTGCCCACTTCTGTGAGTCTACTATCTTATGCACTCCAAGGTAATATGTTTATCTGTGTACTCGCCTGGTTGTACTCGGCTTCTTGTGCTTGCGGGGGTTGAGCTTCGGCTCTTTGCTCCCGCCTCTCAACCGTCAATCAACTGGTGTACAGATTCCTGAGCTTTTCGAGCTCTATCATATATTTGAAACTGTGTATGGAGTCAGCCTCCACCACTTCACTTCCTAGTACATTCTATTTACTAACTACTCTGACACTGAAAAAGTTCTTTCTAACGTCCCTGTGGCTCATTTGGGTACTCGGCTTCCACCTGTGTTCCCATGTGCGTGTACCGGCCGACCGTGACTCTGACCTACTCAAGTCCTGAAGTTTCCCGCAGTCTTCGACTGACCCCATGTTCCTCTTCAACTTCGCTTCATCAATAAACCGTAATACACAGTCAAATTCATCCGCTGTATCATTTATGTATACAAGGAAATACCACGAGTCCCAGCACTGAGCCTCCTGGAACTCCACCTACGATGATCTCATTCCGAAATCCCTCCTCTCATTGTTACTCTGTTTCCTATCTGTTGGGCAGTTCTTCGCGCACTTAACAAGCCATCAGAGGACGTAGCATCAAACAGCGCCTCCGCAGTGATCAGTCAAAAAGTGCAGCGCACTTTTTGACTCTTAGTGACCTCGTGTACACAGTGCTATACTCGTGCCAACCATTACCTAGTAACGGCCGTATGCATCACTCATCACTTATTTTGGCCCTTAAGCTCCATTCATCACTCTATTGATCGCCATTACGTAGTACACACTCATTCAATCGCCCCCTTCCTCTTGTTATCAATACACAGGACACGAGCACTCTCGTTCCCCGCGTGTCAGCAGTTGAGAGAAGCAGAGCCCCTTGGGCAGCAGGTGAGGGGGGGGGGAACCTGGAATGTTAGGCCGTCTTCCAGGGATTGACGAGTCCATCTAAATAATGGTCAATGAAAATGTTAAAAATCAGGTATGAGGTAGAACGTCTTTTGACACTCACTCACTCTCACTCACTCACTCTCACTCTCTCTCTCTCTCTCTGCGTACTCACCTCCACCGTTCTTATAGCAGAGGTAGGGAAAGCGCCAGACGTTGCCAATCCCGATGGCGTTCCCGACAAGGGAAAGGATAAAGTCGAGGTGGTTACTCCAGGCGCCACGGACGAGGTGACCTTCCTCCTCGAAGACCACCAGTCCAGCATCGTTGGGCGTCTGGGGCGAGGTGCCGTTCAGGCCGTATTGGGTCATCTCCAGGCCTCCGCCGCCGCCGCCGCCACCGCCCTCGCCGCCGGCTCCACCTCCGGCAGACTTGTTCTTGTTCTTCTCGTCACCTTCCATGACGGTGGGGGCCGGCGGGGCTGTGTCCTCGTCTGTTATGGTGGCTGCCGGGGGCGGGGGTCTGCTAGGCCAGGTGTGGGTAGGAGCTGGCTCCGCTGCTCTGCTGTACCCAGCTGTGCTCGGCTGTGCTAGGCTGTGCTGGGCTGTGCTGGGCTGTGCTGGGCTGTGCTGGGCTGTGCCCTTCTGCTGTCCACGCCCGGGCCCAGGATAGGTTTACAGCATGCGATCGGTGGGGCTACTCTCACTCGCTTCTGTAAGAGAAAATCAAAGCATTAGCTCTTCATCTCCAACTTGACAAAACGGTCACCTCCTACATGCTCAAAGGAGCATATTTCTCAAGGAAAAAAAATGCAAATATTATATTATATTGTGTGTGTACGTGTGTCCGTGTTGGTATTAACCGTGACATACACAGACATACAAACAAAATACACGTAAATAAGTACACACACACACACACACACACAGACACACACACACAGACACAGACAGACACACACAGACACACACAGACACACACAGACACACACAGACACACACACACACACACACACACACACACACACACACACACACACACACACACACACACACACACACACACACACACACACACACACACACACACTACTCTGAACAAGACTAAGATGGGAGTCAACATCGCTTAAATAACCCAACCGTTTAGACTCTTTTACGTGTGTAAATATTTCTGTCGCGTTGCACCTGTTGTCCAAGCTACTACCCCCCCTCCTCCTCCCCCTCCCCCCCCCTCAGTCCTTGCCAAAAGACACTAAATTGTCGGACGAATTCGAAGCGTTCGAACGTACCCAGGTCGCCAGGCGTTGGCGCTGGTGCCGAGGCCAAACAGCCTGACCTCGTAGTTCGTCCTCATAACCACTGGCACTAACAGGGTTGTTGGTCCAGCCCTCCCTCCCCCCCCCCCGTTCCTCCTGGTGATGAATGGAAAATACTTTAAAAAAAAAAAAACACGACTTACTACTGATAGCGTTCAAATAGTTTTTCGCCGATGACTTCCGTTCGAATCTCAACGCTGTAAATGCTTCGATTGATGAAGATTAAGCCACCCAAGAGGTAGCACGGGCATGAATAGCCCGTAATGTAAATGCTTCACCAACGATTGATGAAGATTAAGCCACCCAAGAGGTAGCACGGGCATGAATAGCCCGTAATGTAAATGCTTCACCAACGATTGATGAAGATTAAGCCACCCAAGAGGTAGCACGGGCATGAATAGCCCGTAATGTAAATGCTTCACCAACGATTGATGAAGATTAAGCCACCCAAGAGGTAGCACGGGCATGAATAGCCCGTAATGTAAATGCTTCATCAACGTGCTATATATATATATATATATACAAGTAATTGTCAACAGAACCTAAACACCTAACTCTAGCCTCCCCTTAAATATGAACAATATGCTAATATATATAAGAATATTAATGTATATTTATAGAAAATCCTATTTTGAATGAACAGCATGTTACAATTGATGAATGGGTATTTGGGGTCGGACGCTGGATGGAACGAACACAGGTCGAGGACAGGTTGGAGCTTAAACGTTAATATTGCCATTTATTCAAGAAAATACTTTTTTTTTTAGCTACACAATTAATTTAACTCATGAATACGTCTTTGATGGATTGCCTCTGGATTGGCTAGTCAAACAATATTTTGTAATTCAATGCTTGTAACTGCATGTTTATCAAGCTTCTTGAGAGACTGTCGATGTCTGTCCGAGATTGGAAGCTAGACGCTTGGGGGCCCAGTCTCACACAACTTTGCATACTGACTGATGAAGGGTCGGTGATCAACATAGCCGGGTTGGGGTTAGCCCCACTGATCCTAGTATTAAAAAGAGGTCGGCTTCCACTTCGACTCCTTCCTACACAACCGGTGGAAGGTGGCTAGCGACGCCAAACTTATTATTTTCCATCGTCGGGGACAAGAAGCCTGTTCAGCCTATCCACCTAGGCCAAGCCAGGATGCAACCCGCCACTCTCGCCTAACTAGCAGGTACCCATTACCCGCCTTGGGGTGTAAGGAACCCATTACCCGCCTTGGGGTGTAAGGAACCCATTACCCGCCTTGGGGTGTAAGGAACCCATTACCCGCCTTGGGGTGTAAGGAACCCATTACCCGCCTTGGGGTGTAAGGAACCCATTACCCGCCTTGGGGTATAAGGAACCCATTACCCGCCTTGGGGTGTAAGGAACCCATTACCCGCCTTGGGGTGTAAGGAACCCTTTACCCGCCTTGGGGTGTAAGGAACCCATTACCCGCCTTGGGGTGTAAGGAACCCTTTACCCGCCTTGGGGTGTAAGGTACCCATTACCCGCCTTGGGGTGTAAGGAACCCATTACCCGCCTTGGGGTGTAAGGAACCCATTACCCGCCTTGGGGTGTAAGGAACCCATTACCCGCCTTGGGGTGTAAGGAACCCTTTACCCGCCTTGGGGTGTAAGGTACCCATTACCCGCCTTGGGGTGTAAGGAACCCATTACCCGCCTTGGGGTGTAAGGAACCCATTACCCGCCTTGGGGTGTAAGGAACCCATTACCCGCCTTGGGGTGTAAGGAACCCTTTACCCGCCTTGGGGTGTAAGGAACCCTTTACCCGCCTTGGGGTGTAAGGAACCCTTTACCCGCCTTGGGGTGTAAGGAACCCTTTACCCGCCTTGGGGTGTAAGGAACCCATTACCCGCCTTGGGGTGTAAGGAACCCATTACCCGCCTTGGGGTGTAAGGAACCCTTTACCCGCCTTGGGGTGTAAGGAACCCATTACCCGCCTTGGGGTGTAAGGAACCCATTACCCGCCTTGGGGTGTAAGGAACCCATTACCCGCCTTGGGGTGTAAGGAACCCTTTACCCGCCTTGGGGTGTAAGGAACCCATTACCCGCCTTGGGGTGTAAGGAACCCTTTACCCGCCTTGGGGTGTAAGGTACCCATTACCCGCCTTGGGGTGTAAGGAACCCATTACCCGCCTTGGGGTGTAAGGAACCCTTTACCCGCCTTGGGGTGTAAGGAACCCTTTACCCGCCTTGGGGTGTAAGGAAACATGCCTACTATATACTTCAACATTCCCGGGAACCATACTTGGCTCCAACCGGTGGTGGAGTATGACTGACACTAGCCTGACAACCGGTGGTGGAGTATGACTGACACTAGCCTGACAACCGGTGGTGGAGTATGACTGACACTAGCCTGACAACCGGTGGTGGAGTATGACTGACACGAGCCTGACAACCGGTGGTGGAGTATGACTGACACTAGCCTGACAACCGGTGGTGGAGTATGACTGACACTAGCCTGACAACCGGTGGTGGAGTATGACTGACACGAGCCTGACAACCGGTGGTGGAGTATGACTGACACGAGCCTGACAACCGGTGGTGGAGTATGACTGACACGAGCCTGACAGTTACTCTTCCAACAATTTACACCTTCTCCCTCCACTCCCCTTAAAGACACCCACCAGAGTGCTTCAGCCTACAGTTTACACCTATTGTCTTATGTATGACCCTCTGTCCTGCGTGACAGTGAATACCAGCATAATTCTCATTTTAATAAGACTATCAAAATTCTCAGATTAGGCAAAATTGTAATTAATTTTGTCAGTAAAGATGTTAATAATAAGTAACTGAATTGTCGAACGAATTCGAACAATTGTTCGAACGAATATAGCCCGAACCAGCGTCCAGCCCTTTGTTTTGGGGAGAGAGGGAGGGCTGGGGGGGGAGTAAAGCAGGAGAGGAACAGATGAAGGGAAAAGATGAGAAATGGGAAATACAGCATGAGGTATTATAGCAGGCAGGCTGTCCCACAAACAAAATAGAACGCACTCTGAGAAAGTAGAGATGTGCTATAAGACCAGTTCCAGAAGTGAAGGGACTGAAATGCAGGGACAGGCTGCGGGAGGTAGACACGAGTCGCAGGGATGAGAGGAAACTCTCCCTGGCAGGGCTGAACAGGACGAGTCTGTCCTCCAACCCAAGTCTCAAAATAAGAGGGTGAAGACACTAACAACCAAACCACCCTCACACAAACACCAGCCCTGTCTTACTGCAGCCACGAGGGGCCCCCATCTGGCAAGTGTCTGGCTCACTAGCGAGCGTGCAGCCTAGTGGACCAAACTCTCACAAGTCAAGCCTGGCCTCGGGCCGGGCTTGGGGAGTAGAAGAACTCCCAGAACCCCATCAACCAGGTATCAACCAGGTATAAACCAGGTATCAACCATGGCCCCCTGTATTGCAATGCGTGTACAGGGTCGAGAGGGTGAAGGAAGTGAGGTAGGTTATCTTGAGATGATTTCGGGGCTTTTTAGTGTCCCCGCGGCCCGGTCCTCGACCAGGCCTCCACCCCCAGGAAGCAGCCCGTGACAGCTGACTAACACCCAGGTACCTATTTTACTGCTAGGTAACAGGGGGGGCATAGGATGAAAGAAACTCTGCCCATTGTTTCTCGCCGGCGCCTGGGATCGAACCCGGGACCACAGGATCATAAGTCCAGCGTGCTCGCCCTCGGCCGACCGGCTCCCATGTGAGGGAGGGGAAAGAGGGAGAAGATTATATCATACAATAATGAGGGAGAAGGAACGGCACCTGCCGAGAATGGCTCTTGTGTCTGGTGTTATAAGGACCACACAGACTTACCAGACTGTTGTGGTCAGACACCAGCACCACCATTACAGACACACACACACACACACACACACACACCACACACACACACACACACACACACACACACACACACACACACACACACACACACACACACACACACACACACACACACCATCTATATAAGGATGTGTCTTGTAGCCTGCCCTGTGACCTTCACACGACCTTCCACGGTAAGACACCACAGATAAGATTTCTCAAACATTTATGTGATTACTTGCGAAACCTCTACGTCTTTCCTCAAACATGGCGGCTGTGTTTACATGTATTAAGTCGTATTATCAGCTGAGACACTTTACAACTCCAGGTTATTATGTTATAAATAACCTTATAGTGCTTCGTAGCTCAAAAAGTGTTTAGTATACATGTAAAGCCAGGTAAACTATCACAGTGTGGTCTTTAAAGACTGGTATACCAGCAATCGAACCCGGTCTCTAAAGCCAGGTATACCACCACAGTATACAGGGACCTGCATACCTCAGGCCCGGCTCGGGGAGTAGACCTCCTGCAACTGTCTCCAGGTATAGTCCAGGTATGTTCTCTAAGGGCAGG